GCCTTTCCCCTCAGCTTTACCCTTCTCTTTTGACGTTTCACTTGCCTTCTCACGTTTTTCGATTAACTTTTCGCAAAGTTTCTGATCGGCATTTTTTTGTTCTTCCTCTGAGCCGCCCTGCTTCTTTTTTTGGCACTTGGCTCCGCCACTAATTTTAGTGTGATCCGTTTCTTTCTTGCTGCCTCCTTCTTTGCACCCTCCTTCCTTAGCTACAACGTTAAGAGTTCGGTACCGCATACTTTTAACATGAAATTATTTCCTTACCTCCTTTTTTGTCTTTATCGCCACCTTCTGGCTTTTTAGATTTACAGGACATGTAACGAAAATTTGCATTGGTTACTGATGGAATCCTTTGGAATCTCAGCCGAGACCATTTTACAATACTTAATAACTGAAGCATGGCTTTTAGGGAAGAAGCAGACCTCAAAAATTTTCTGGAGACTAAAATTTAAATATCCTACTGATTTTTTTTTTTTGGATAAATACATATATTCATTAAAACCTAACTTCCAAGCCAACTGTAACAATTTTATTCATTTTAATTCGTTTTCAAAAGAGTGCGCCAACAGTCTCATTAATGCAAGCGTTATCGATTGTTCTTTGTCAACAACTGTGCTGTTAGCTGACCACTATTAACAGAATTATGTTAACGCTTACATTGGACTATCAAGAATGAAATTTAACAGCAACTGTTATTTGTAGAGATTAAGATTTATTTAATTCCACAGAACAATGCCAATATGGGGTATACTTGGTTAAGCACAAATACTAAAGGCTCATATATTCTACTCTTTAACTCACATACATTTCAAATTGATTAGGCGTGACCGAAGTGAAAAGTTAGTATGCGATAAGTTCGACTTTTATTGCCTAACATACAAGTGCATGTGGGAATTAACAAATAAAACATATGTATAACATTTGGTAGAAGTGGTGGGTTTCAAACCATTTAAACAGAGTAATGGGTGTCTGACAGTTCACCAACAACTTAGAGCACTTCTGCCTTTTTACAGTCTGATTGGACTTTTTGTTAACAGATGTTATTCAGACGCCGTCGAGGAAGCATTAAACACTTGCGTGCATATGTATTGTTTCAAATAATTGTTGAGCGTAATTTGACATTCGGGCGTTATTTTAAATTATTTCTGCGTGTGTGTATTATAAAATCGATTTAATACAACAATGAAGGTCTGTTGCATTGGCGCTGGTTATGTCGGCGGCCCAACATGTGCGGTAATGGCACTAAAGTGTCCAGATATAAGCATAACGCTGGTCGATAAAAGCGCCGAGAGAATCGCACAATGGAATTCGGAGAAATTGCCCATTTACGAGGTTAGTCTAAGTTATTGTCAAATTGTTGATCGTGTGACATCCGCAAAAAATTAATGTGCAAATGTGCAGATGCACTGACGTTTGCGATTGCTTGTTTGTCAATGTGCATGTGTGTGTGTGTGCGAGAGTGTGCTAGAACAAATGCATTGATTGTGTACGTGCGTGTGTGTGCGTCTGATATAGAGATCTATCACGCTCGTGCTATACAAGAGATGAATAATAAATTCAAGCAAGAATCCTAAACAAACAACAGACACATCAATCAGAGCCACAGATACAAGTGGCCAGACGTCGATGAACTTCTCTTGTCCATGTTTCAAGTACGCGGCTCAGCGGCTGTCTGACAAACAGTTAGAGACGCAAACCAGTTCCCCAACGGTTTGAAAACTGATTTGTACACAGCGCGCACCTTTCTAGCCCTCTCGATCTGAAGCACGCACAACAGCCGTGCGTTTGACTGCGTGCTGCTCGACTCACAATAGAGACGGAGTGAGGGCACCTGATCATTGCGAACACAAGCACAATTGGTGCTCGGCAAGGTCAATGGTCACTCTCCTCCCTCTGCTGCCCAGCAGAGAAGAGTGAACCTCACATGCCGACGGCAGGCGAGCATTCATTAGTCATTCACAAGGTGCACACACACACATAGACGCACAGAGTGCAGACATATGTGTTCACAAATACAAGTGCGTGTACATGCTTGCCAAATGATTACACTCGCTTACAAGATAGCGATATCGATTTGACCTACTGTGGCAGGTGGGAAGCCCTTTAAGGCAAAGCTGATAGAATCCTCACATGTTACTTGGGCTTGGGCAATATCTCTTTCTCTTTTCTGCTCTTTGTTGTCGCATTTCCGTTTTCGCTTTTTATTTTGTGATATTCTAGACTCGTTTCCGCCCGCGCCTCATTATTACCCCAATCCTTATCAGCCCGTCCACATTACGTCTTGTGAGCCAGATAAGCAGCAGTGTCCCCTTATCAGTCCGTGCTGGATAATATAAAAACAAAAAAATAACATTAAATTTTGCAAGAATTCTAAACGGGTTTCCCACTGCCACGGATGAGAGCCGAACAATAGAGTAAGTTTTATTTATTCTATGGCGTAATATCTGTCAATAGTCCAAGGCTTTAACATAAACACCTTGTATATGCATATAAAAGCTTTGATGGCCATCTCAGTGTGATTACATCATTGCAACTGCATTAACAATGTTTTCGAAACAGATATAGCAAATAAGAGGAGGAACAAAGATAAAAATAATAATAGATAATGTTGACATCGACTGCACTCATAGTTTCTTGTGCACATATTTGCCCAGGTGCCAAATAGACTGTTGCAATTCTCTAAGAAATGCAAATACGCTAATTGCATTTTCCATTTGCAGCTTATCACCTGACAGACAGATATAGAACTTCATTAATTAGAGCAGGCAAACTTCAAATTTGTTTACCAATTGCATGCCCATCGATAGTTCTAAAATCAATTAAGTGATAGAGCAGTTCATTAAAAAATATATAAATAAATGAAAGATAACTCTAAAATTAGTTTAGCTATTAAATTGCCTCGAACTGATTTGATGACAAATAGAGTTTTGCGCGTTGCTCAGCATTTGTGTTTTGCTCTACTTCCGCAACTTCTTATTCTTCTTGTTCTAATTTCCACATTATTTAGCGCCTGCTTCTTCTTCTTCTTCAAAATTATCATGTAAAAGGTTCAATAAACCATAATTCTGATTAAAATGCAAACCTGATGGTCTATGGAAAATTACCAATTTAAATAAATACATACATACATACATATGTGTGGTACAATATATTCTTGGTATATGTATTTATATTTTATTTTATTTATCTAAAAAAAGAAATCATTTGATAAGATTAGCTGGAGGCAAAACTCGAATAATCTTATCTCTTTCAATCCATTCAGTGGAACGAACGTTTGGGTTGTTCGCTTAATCTATGTTTGATATATATTTATAATTTTCCGATTAAAACGGTATTTCTGTTGCTCCGCAGCCCGGTCTCGATGAGGTGGTCAAGAAGTGCCGCAATGTGAACCTATTTTTCTCCACGGACATTACGACAGCCATCAAAGAAGCTGATCTGATTTTCATTTCCGTCAATACGCCAACGAAGACCTGCGGCAGCGGCAAGGGTAAGACTCGCCTCCCCCTACATAAATCGTATATTTATAATTAGACTGTATCCACTTTCAGGTCGTGCTGCGGATCTGAAGTATGTGGAGAGTGCAGCACGCATGATAGCCGAGATAGCGCAGTCCAACAAAATCGTCGTGGAGAAGAGCACGGTGCCGGTGCGAGCGGCTGAGAGCATTATGCATATATTGCGAGCGAATCAGAAGCCGGGCATCCACTATGACATACTATCGAATCCCGAGTTCCTGGCCGAGGGCACTGCCATCAACGATTTACTGAATGCGGATCGCGTCTTGATTGGCGGCGAGGAAACGGCTGAGGGTCATCAGGCGGTGGAGAAGCTGTCGTGGATCTATGAGCATTGGATACCGAAGAAGCATATACTGACCACGAATACGTGGAGCAGTGAGCTCTCCAAGTTGGCGGCCAATGCATTCCTAGCGCAGCGCATCTCCAGCATCAATTCGCTGTCCGCGGTGTGCGAATCAACCGGAGCGGATGTGTCGGAGGTGGCGCGCGCCGTGGGTCTGGACTCGCGCATCGGTTCCAAGTTTCTGCAAGCCTCGGTCGGCTTCGGGGGTAGCTGCTTCCAGAAGGATATTCTAAATCTGATCTACATATGCGAGAACCTCAACCTGCCTGAGGTGGCGGCCTACTGGCAGCAGGTGATAGACATGAATGAATACCAGAAGCGCCGCTTCTCACAGAAGATCATCGAGAGTTTGTTCAACACGGTGTCGGACAAGCGCATTGCAATCCTTGGATTTGCCTTCAAGAAGAACACGGGCGACACTCGCGAAACGGCTGCGATTACCGTTTGCCAGACTCTGCTGGAGGAGGGCGCCAAGCTGGACATTTACGATCCCAAGGTGGAGCCGGAGCAAATCATTGACGATCTAACGCATCCCAGCGTAACGGAATCTCCAGAGAATGTCAAGAAGGCGGTTCAGATACACAGCGATCCCTATAGCGCCGTGCGAGCTACGCACGCTCTGGTCCTGTGCACGGAATGGGATGAGTTTGTAGATCTGGACTACAAGCGCATCTATCAGTCGATGATGAAGCCGGCGTACATATTCGACGGGCGCAAGATTTTGGATCACGAACGTTTGTTGCAGATTGGATTCCATGTGCAGACGATTGGAAAGAAATATCAACGGGCGGGACTTCTTCGCTCATGGGGCATTGTGCCGCAGCTGTAGGCGTGTGGGCGTGGCATTAAGACTTAAATCTGTCAACAATTTCCAGTATTTACGCACCTAAATGTAAATATGCTTTTGTGCTTTATATATATATGTATTATTATATATATAAATAGTTCAAGTATTCCGCTAGATACGCCTAAGTATTCCCACATCTATTCCTACAACCAGATGTCGTTCCAGTTGCAATATCTAAATACATATATAACGATTGCCGTTGCAAACGGGCTGCCCTATTTCTTTACTATATACAGGAGCTGAATTTCTGTATTATTTGATCGCTGAACAAGCATTTACACATATTATGTAAATTTTATAATAAAATAAACAAACATTTATTCATGCATTGATCAATCAAAACGGTATTCTCCTAACAATCTGACGATGCCACAGGTATGCGGTAGCTGCGGACAGGCTGAACCAGGTAACCAGATAGGAGAGATGATCGTTGCGCAGTGTAACGCGAGTCTGTCCACCTATGGGACTACCCTCTGGCGCCTTTGGATCATAGACCGCATCGAGGAAGATGGGCTGGGCGCCAGAGTTCTTGCACATCCTGTTCAAGTCGCGATAGAGATAGACTTGGCCATCTTTGTGATCTGGCGTGAACTGTGGACGCGTCTCGCCTTGGCGTACAACGGCCGTCAGTTCCACCTCGTTTTGGTACTGGCCCAAGGCTCGTGTCTCCTTCTCAGTATGCTTGCGCGAGATCCAGCCTCGGTTAACCAGGACAATGTCACTGTTGAAGCGAAATTGGATTAAGGGATTACTATTGATATAGTATTTCTAGGGCTTACTCCCTGTCAGCCAATTGGAACGGTGTGATGACGAGGTAGCCGTTGCCGGAGTCGCGCTGTGAGAATAGTCCACCTTGTGTTTCCCCTCCATCTGGCCGGATGAGCGAGCGGGGTCCCATCAACATCTCCTTGTCATGCAAAAACCGGCCACGCAGCTTAACCAAACGGTACTCCATTTGTGATAGCTGGCTTAAACTAAATAAAGAAGGCTGTCTTAAATCAGAAGCTTTTGATGCCAGCATTTCCACTCACTCATCCGGCAGATCAACGGGCTCCATATGCAGTTGCTTATCCAGGTCCTTAATTAGCTGCTCCTTCCAGATTTTGCGCTTCACTTGCCAAACGCCTAGACCAAATGTTGTGGCGGGTATGATCTGTCATAGGACGATAAGTGGACGTAAGGCTTTTCAACAGTTTACTTACGAGTAGGAACCAACCGAGTGCTGTGATTTTATCCTTCTTCTTGGCAATCGGAATACTCGTTGTGAAGTCCACTTTTGGGTGCTGTTGTGTCATCTTTCTGGTGACCAATTGCAGCCTGACTGTGGGAATCGTATTTGTGCTGCCAGCCAGGCGTTGCAGTGTGACGCTTTGCTTGCATATTTGAGAGCTTAAGCGTAGCATAATTAGTTCTTATTATATTAATACAATTTCACAAACGGATTGAAAAAGCTGGTCATAACATTACAATTCTGTTAACAGTGGAGCAAATCTAATAAGTCAGCTGTTTATTGCCGTTGAGAGGCTCTGTTAACTGTGGGCTGTTAAGCCAGCTGTCTGCTTTTCGTGCCGGAATTGGTTTTGGTCAAGTTGGCAGCACTACATGTTATTAGAACATTGCCTTTCGGTTTAAACAATTAAAATTCAGTTTAATTAAAGCATGTTGTGCACACGCGCAGCTGCGAGGCTTGGGAGTGTCTTTACTACATCAGGACTGGTATGTAAACGAATGAAATCACAAAGTTTGATTCTTAGCAGTGGCTTCTGCAACTGCACCTGCACCACTCTTATATAAACCACACTGGCGGTTGTTTTTATCCCACAGGTAGCGCAACAAACATATACGCATCGTGTGGCAGCAGCTGCGGCAGTTAGATTCACCCACCAATGCCGACTCTGCTCCACTGGTGTTGTGGACAGTCCTGGGAAAACAACAAAACAAACTGCGGAAGATGGTAGCATATTGAAACGTGTTCTGAACAAAGTGGGCTTTACGCCCAATACAAAAGCCGTGAGTACTATAAATAAAGAATACATAATACAATAGATAGATCTAAAAACAAAATTCATTGCAGCGCCTCAAGGTCACGAGTCACCTGCTGTATGAGAGTGTTGCGGACAAAATCAACTATGTTGCCTTCTTTCGCGATTTCAATTTGCCAAACACGTTCAACTCCTGGTTTCTGGTCACTGAGCTCCATGTCTGGCTGCTAATGATGCGCTCCATGGCCGAAGGATCAGAAACTGGCGAAGACGGACGCTTCCTGAGAAACTGCATCGTGGAGGCAATGTGGGGAGATGTAAATACACGCGCCAAGAAACTTGGAGTAAGTTCTAAAACTCCACTAAGGTCGTTGATTAATCTATTTTATTTGCTCTGCAGGCGAATAATCCCTCTCAAACGAGGAGGCAAATAGAGACTCTCTCGGAACAATTTCAGGCAGCACTGATCGCCTACGACGAGGGCATCATGTCCGATGATCGAGTGCTGGCGTCTGCTCTTTGGCGTCGCTTCTTCGAAATGGATTGTGACGATTACACTCAAATTGAGCGTCTGGTGAAATACGTGAGGATACAGGCACTTATGTTGGATAGTTTAAGTCGCGATCAGTTCATAACAAAGCCAAACGTGGCGTGGCATGATTTGGACAAGTGCAAGGTTGATGCATAGAAAATGTTTTATTTTTTCTTTTAGTTTGTTTATTAAAGGTCTATTTACAATGCTAAGCCTTAATTTAAATAACCAGATCATTGATGGGCTCGTCTACTAGAGCTCGAAGCTGACACTTGAGCAGGAAAGCCAAAATCCGACGTTCCGCTCGCACTTTCTGTACGCCCTTTAGTTGCCCCAGAATCCGACTCATTTGCAGATAAGCGCTTGTGGGTGACGATGGCGACGCGTCCACAGCAAGAGGTGCCCTTCCTTTAGCAGTGGCTTCTATGCTTGGCTGCAGATGCTGCTCCACAACCTCATCTGCTTCCTCGAAAATGATTTCTTCTTGTAGCATTGGATCGCTTGGCTCAATAATTTCCTCAATTATCAAGGTATTGTCATCATGCTGTTCCATATCGGTAACATGCATTACAACGCAATCTTCATACGACTGCCACGTACCCTGATCCACAAAGGATTCCTTCTGCACTACATTTGGCTGCCTCTCTACTTTCGCCTTGGCCTTAGGCCGCGATTGCGCATCTGTTAAGAATTGTAGTCGCTTAAAATAGGGCCAGGTTGAACCGCCGGGTCGCCTTGATTCCTTGCGATACTGATAATGTAAATTATTCCAGCGCATTAGGCAGAAATCGACTGGAAAGAAATCCACTATTATTGGTAGTTCACTAAGGAATAGTCCAATTTACCATCACAATCCATTATCTCAGCTATTTTGGACCAGATCTCCGTCTTAACTTTCATAACATCATAGTTCGAAAGTCCGGTCTGGCGTTTATACAACACGGTATTAGGCTCGACATGATCGATGAGCTTGAAATCAAATGGACGATTCTTTTTATAGCTGGTGCGCATATTTAATAAATGCTGAAATCAATTTTGAATAATGGTGGAGTGACATTAAGCATATTTGCGATTAAGTGGCTAACAGCTATACATATATCTGTTAAAGTAAAATAAACAGTGTTTGACAAAGGCAAAAAATCCGTTTATTTTTAAAAAGTAGCCATTAAAAACTGCAACCTCTAATAAAAATGCAGCAATCGTAACATTTCATTTCAGTATACATTTAATGGTGTCACTCTACTTTAGTGCTTTTTCTATTTGTGTAAAACAGAGTTGCTTTGATTTATAAATATCGAATATGTCCAATATCGAGCATAACTAAGCCAGCAGTTTCTTTCATCTCTAATACTGACGTAGGTGCAAAACCTGGAAAATTGTAAGGTGAAGTGAAAATTGCAAAAAAAAGTGAAAAAAGATAAAATATTTGGCAAATAATTGTGCAATTTAAGTGCTGATAAAAATGAACATGTAAGTAACAATAATTTGCATTGGGGTACATCATATTTACGTTGTTTTTCGTAAAAAACCACACATGTGGCAATGAGACTGCTGCAGAGGGGGAATTTTTTTTTTTCATAGATTTGCTAAAAATCGATAATTCAAAATGGCCGAGAGAGTAGCTAGTGAAAATCACATCGAAAAGTAGAAAAAAAAGTTTGGAACTACTTTTGATGCTCAAAATTATAATTAATGGCGCACAACGCTCGTTCCAGGTATAACGGACAGGTAAATGGTTATATGGGAAGTGCACCCACCGGTGGTATGCCCAACAATCGTATGGGCGCTGGCGGCGGTGCTGGAATGTTCCAGCGTAATCGCTCGGCTCCCTACATTCGTGGTGGACCCGGCGGTGGCGCTGGTACTGGTGGATTCAATGGAGGTCGCATGAATATGGGCGGCCCAGGAGCTCGCGATGGAGGAGGTTTTAATGGTGGACAGAACAGCAACCGCACGTCCACCCATGGCGCCCATCTGCCATCAATTATTTGGGCTGAGGTGTCTCTTACACCATTCCGCAAGAACTTCTACAAGCCTTGTGAATCTGTGTTGGCTCGTACTCAAGGGGAGACAGAAACCTTCTTGAGCAGCAACGAGATAACTATTAAAGGCAATGAGGTGCCCACTCCTAGCATTGAATTTGAGGAGGGCGGTTTCCCTGACTATGTAATGAATGAGATACGCAAGCAGGGCTTTACCAAGCCCACAGCTATTCAAGCTCAGGGTATGCCCATCGCATTAAGTGGCCGTGATCTGGTGGCCGTGGCCCAAACTGGTTCGGGCAAGACATTAGCCTATGTCTTGCCCGCTGTGGTCCACATTAACAATCAGCCGCGCTTGGAACGTGGCGATGGACCCATTGCTTTGGTACTCGCACCCACACGCGAGCTGGCCCAGCAAATCCAGCAGGTAGCTAGTGAGTTTGGGTCGAACACTCAGGTGCGCAACACCTGCATTTTCGGCGGTGCCCCCAAGGGCCAGCAAGCTCGCGATTTGGAGCGTGGCGTCGAGATTGTCATTGCGACTCCTGGACGCTTGATTGATTTCTTGGAGCGCGGAACCACCTCGCTAAAGCGCTGCACCTATCTGGTGTTGGACGAGGCCGATCGCATGCTGGACATGGGCTTTGAGCCGCAAATCCGTAAAATTATGCAGCAGATACGCCCAGATCGTCAGGTGCTCATGTGGTCCGCCACCTGGCCCAAGGAGGTGCGCCAGCTGGCCGAAGAATTTCTCAACAACTACATTCAGGTCAACATTGGCTCTCTGTCGTTGAGCGCCAATCATAACATACTCCAGATTGTCGATGTCTGTGATGAGTCGGAAAAGATCGTTAAGCTCATACAGTTGCTAACCCAAATCTCTGGTGAGAATGAGACCAAGACCATCATATTTGTGGAGACCAAGAAGCGTGTGGATGAGATAACACGCAATATATCACGCCAGGGCTGGCGTGCGTGTGCCATTCACGGCGACAAGTCGCAGCAGGAACGCGACTTTGTGCTATCGAGTTTCCGCAATGGACGCCACTCCATACTGGTGGCCACCGATGTGGCCGCTCGCGGATTGGGTGAGTGTTTCGTAGCTTTTGCGCCAGCAGCTGGCTAATGCCAAGCTGTGCTGTTGTCTTTTTTGATGCGCTCCATAACCAATAACCGAGCAAGTGTTGCTGTGGATCAACAACATGACCAAAATGCCAAATGCCAAAATGGTTTTGTTTCATTATTTGATTCGTCGTCGTCGTCGTCTGGCAGCGACAGTCAGCGATGAATCGGCCAACACCGACCAGCCTATTACTCTTTCTCTCTCATTCCTTGGCTTTCACTTTTCTTTCACATTCTCTTATTCTCCGCTTCTCTCTCACCGTTCGAGTGGGACAAGTTGACCTTTGTGCATTTACAGGTTAATTTGTGCATTGCATGTCTAAGTCTTCTCTCCAACCCAACTTTCCTCCCGTTTGCTTCCGACCGGCGAAGCATTGAAAGATATTTTAATTTTCTCTTTTTATTTACATTTATTCGTTCGCTTTAAACTTTTTTTTTGCCGTTCCCAAAAAGAAAAAGAAAAACTATAAAAAAATATCTTTAAAATGGTGTGGTCGAAATAATAATGAGGGAATGTGTTCTCCCTGCATTTTGCTGGTTATATGAAGTTTATTCCACATATATGTACTTTATTGTGTTTTTAGTTTGTTGCTCTACGTTTTTCTATCTAGTCTTTAGTTGTGCTTCGTCATATTACACTTGAGTAACCTAACATACCATATGCAATATGTTGTCAGTCAAGGACTCAATGGCTTAGCAAAATACGAGTAAATTGATTAAATCTAAAATAAGAAAATAAAGAAATCGGGTTCTTCGGTTAGCCGAATATGAAATGCCTTTGTAGAGGAAATCTAGCGCAGTTTTTCCGATTGATAGCAGGCTGGAGCTGAAAGAACTGATATACATGACTGGACTGTTGATACTGATGTCATATTCTCTA